TCAAGTGTACAGTTCTAGAATACATCATCTGTATATTGTACTGTGTTCACCACCCAAAGTCAAGTCTCCTTCCCTCACCATTTACCCCCCTTTACCCTCTTCTACCTCCCCCACCCCCCTTTCCCTCTGGGAATCACCACACTTGTGTCTATGAGATTTTTGGTTGTGTTTTTTTGCTTAATCTCTTCACCTTTTTCACCCAGCCCAGCAGCTGTCACTCCCTCAGACACTCTTCAGTTCTTGACGTGCACTCTTAAAACTCACACACCTATCCCAACCCACTATTTATGGCTTTACAGTCATCCAACAACAAAAAAAATCACTTGGCAAAAAAGGGTAATGGGGGTAAGGGAGAAATAAAGAGTGACATTTTAACACATCACTTACATTTTTATTGACATTTCCCCTTCTCTCACTTTCTCAGATTATATGAGCATTGCAGCAATGGAGAGGGGTTATCACAGCACCTCTTGCAAATTCCAGGCTACAGGTAAATTGGTCAATGGAAAAGTATGGGCCAACAGAGTAAGATCTCAGCTCCCCATCAGCTTTTTCTCTACTCTTTCCCCCTTCTCTTAATGTTAGCTACTTTTACACAGAGAGGGATCATCAAGACTGTGGTGATTTCATCAGTATCCTGTGAAGAACCGTTAAGGATGACTTTTGTCATTCCAACCATTGGCTTAACATTGACAAGTCCCGCACTCCCTTGGGAGGCTGGGTCAAGGGGAACAAAGCTTTGTATAAGAAACTTGGGAATTGTGTTGGAAAAAGCAGACTGTGACTTGCCTCAAGGCTCCACATACACAGAAGGGTCGCTTATCCACGCGGATGGCAACAAGGCAGGACACTGAGCACATCGAGGCACTGCTCTTGCTCTTACCCTTCCTTCAACTTCCCACCACTGCTCTGAAAGACGAGCTCTGGGTATTGCTTCATTAAAAACACAGTAATGGCAGTTTAAGAGTCATTGCATTCTTCAGGGTCAGTTTATTATATCTCATCATACCACAAAGAATCACAGTTTAAGGCCACTTTTCAAGTGCATGATGCAGTAAGCAAGACCTTGCCTACAGCTCCCCAACCAAGCCACTCCCACGGGTGACTGGGAATGTTATACCTGCAGACTCACCACAGATCTGAATAAGCATTTTTAATAGGGGCTTCAGCTAATCCCTTTGGTTTCCTCGCTAGAAAAGACTCACTCCATAGCAGAAAATGCTTGGAATGCAGGTCACTGGAAACGACAAAAGGGGCAACAGCATTTTCTATACAATTAAAAGCAAATGGATCATTGGCTAGTCCTAGCATTTCTCCAGTATAAGGCAGGAAGCCAGCCTTCTAATTCGGCTATCTGGGCACCTGGCAATTGGCTAGGAGCCTGGACACCACATTTCATGATAAAGCTGAGAGAGAATGGACATGCTTTCCTCCATGGAAGGTATTTTGATTAACTGGCTTAATGGATTAAGATGCCTGCTGGGCACTGAGATTCCATGATAAACAGGTAGCAGCACATCTATAGGATCTGGGGCTGCATTTAAGCAAACAGCTACTCAACAGCTAAGAAGAATCTTTTGACTTTTAAAACCCTTCATGATCCCTTTGGCCTATCCTGACTTTACCCGTGTGAAATGCTCCAGTTCTTATCTTCATGAAGGAAGACAGAAGGAAAACCACTACTCTCCGCACTGCCTAACCACACAGGTTATATAGCAAGTAGAGATTAAAACCCGTTTTGGCTTACCTAGAACACCAGGAAAGACACCCTGGGGGTTAGGACGCAGCAATTCTTTGTGCAAGAGAACCAGGTTACAGGTTTTGCCACATCCCTACAAAGTCCCATAAAACAAGAATCACCTAAATTCCTTTTCTTCACTGCCCGTGGAATTCTAAAAATCAAGAACTGGGAGGCACAGAAAGAAAGAAAGGCCAGATACAGAAGGGAGGGATTATAGAGACAAATCAAGGGAAGAACATTCAATTCCTTGGCCTGCGACAGGGCGTCAGGCAAACACACAGCCCTTGGTAGTTGTGTAGGACGTTTCTGTTCACTTTACGTGACTACATGTGGAAGAAGCATGTTTTGACATCTGAACTCCTCACCCTGCATCAAAGTTTAAGACAGTGACTAAAGGACTAAAGATATCAAGTTCTTCAAACAAGCAAGCAGTACTTTGGGGTTCTGGAGACCAGAATGTTTTGTAAAGAATTTTCCAAAGCAAAACAAAAAGTTAAAAAAGTGCTCCAAAGCCCCTGAACATTTTTAGTATTTCCTTGCGTTAGGAGGTATATCATATTCTAGGGCAAAGGTGGGAAGACAGCCTGCTCTCTGCTCCATTCTTTGTGAATTTGATGTCCCCTCATTATAGATTCCTGGCTTTTCATGTGATTCTCAGAAAAAGGTCTGATAAAGTGGAAATGGATCAAGGCAATGCTAAAGCAAGCGTGATCAAGATCAGTCACACCTGTACTGACTGACTGACTACCAGCTTTGGTGGTTGTAGTTAGCTGATGCCTGTTTGAACCCCATCAGATTCTCGAGTCAGGCTGTGTGTTAAACCATGTACTAAACAATCCCAGATTTCTATTCATTCCCAACGACTGTATTTATATACACTTGTATTTCCCCAAGGGCTTGATTAAAGAATGGTACTTGTTATATGACTGAAGCCTAGATTTATATTACAGTTTCAAGAAGAGACAACCAGTGTGTATGTACGTTTTGCCCTCTAGAAAGTAGAGGTCCTGGATAGATCACAGGATTTTGTCTCTTCGAAATAAACTTGTAATTTAACTACATTTATCCTGAAATAACTCTGCACCAGCAAAGTGACATATAATTTTTTAAATGCCCATACTAACTGATACTTTATATTGCAGTGACTTCATGCATGCCAAAATAAAGACTAGCAGGTAAGTTCATTGCTTAAAGTTTGTGACTTCTGCAAACCCCACACCATTACATAGTAAGTGCAGTGCAAAAGCCACCTGGTATCCTAGTGGGGTTCTAGGGTGAGGAACGAGAGGTGCAAAAAAGGTGAGCAATGTGCTTCATTTACAGGATGAGTCACTTGGTTACCACAATTTCTTTTTTACTGCAACCTGTACACACTAAGTACAGTCCCAGCATATCTTCAAGGTTCTTTTATTCACCCTTTGCTATTCTTTAAAAAAGTAAAATGAAACCTTGGACTATTCAAGGGCTTAATGTTCTCAGATGCTGAGAGTGACCAAACACAACTTGAGACACGAAAACAGAACTTCACAAACAATAATATTGCTTATGTCTTCCACTACCTGTAGCCGTACAATCATACCAATAAGATGCCCAAGAGAATCTGGCCTGAGAACTCTTACCAATAAAAGGAGTGGCTTCAAAAACAGACACGTGCAAAAATACTTTCACAGAATTCTTTTCCATCCGGTTTCCAATCCTTCCCTCTAACACCTGATGGCTACTAAAAGACAAGCTGATCTTGGGTATAATAGAGTCAAAAGTTCTTTTCACTTAAGCTTTGGTTAAGAGAGAGAAAAAAAAAGAACTTTAACATGGAGATTTTCAGATTTGTTCTTTGGTCAAGCAGTATAAAGGTCTCTGAAAAAAGTCCCCATTACCTGGTATGAAAACAGAGTCAAAACAGAGGGTCCCAGTTTGGCAAACAGATATGTGTCCAGAATTTCTTTAAAAAAAAAAAAGAAGAAAAGGCAAGGGAGACCCTAACCCTCGATGATGGTTAGAATTGTCTCAGGACATCAAAATAAAGAGAGCCAGCCCTCAGAAGAGTGATATTTAAATGGGTCAGCTTCTAAAAAGGGTAAGAACTTTAATCCTTAAATAGGAACATGACAAGTGATTTATTTCTGAGCAGAGGATTTACCAACATTTCCCTTTATCAGTTTAAATCTAATCTGGACCCAGACCTGGGCAGAGGTCATAATTTTGAAAAGCAGAAAGCAGTAAGAAGCAAACCACAGATGTTCTGGTTCTGCAAGTAGGAATCAAATCTACCAGCCACCCTGGCCCTCACCCCAGCAGGCGACTCACCACTCCAAGGAGCAGCTTTGTACAGAGTCAGCATCACC